GCAAATTTTTCTTCAATGACAATGTGACACAGGAAGAAGTCTTTAAAACTTCTTAAAGCATTAATTATACTGCACAGACAACATCACTGGCAGTATTAGGCTGTAAGAACTTGCTTGTTAGGGATTCAAGAGTGCTCAGATGTGCCTCATCTGACTAGGTCACTAACATATTCCTGAGGAGACTTTGTTTAGCTAAGAATATTGGGAAATCAGTCTAGTTTTACTTGGGTGTGGGCATGTGGTCTGTCTCTAAAAATCTATACCACATTTCAAATAGGTTTTTAAGGCCTTTAAAAATGAAACCATGCCTTATGATTCTTTGTGTACCAAAAGGAGCTCTGGTAGAGTAGTGGTTACAAATCGGGCTGCGAGCCGCAAGGTCAGCAGTTCAAAACTACCAGCTGTTCCGTGGGGGAAAGATGAGGCATTCTGCTCCCATAAAGATTTACAGCCTCGGAAACTCTGCACAGGGTCGCTGAGTCGGGACTGACTCCACGGCACACAACAACAATATAATACATTATTTGTAAATCCTGATTTATCAACAAAATAAGGCACATAGACATAAGTTCAAAATAAAGACTTAAGATGCACTATGTCATTCCAAAGTCCGTACAGTATATTTCACCTTTCCAAATATGCTGGTATACACATGTGTATCTTTTGTAAGTGTGCTTGTGTGTGTGTCTTTAAGCAAGCCAGGCATACAAAAATATTTGAAACATAGGAAATTACTGTCACTACTAATATGTAACATAGTTTCATGAAGACATGTCTTGTTTAGTGCTGTATTCTTGACTATAACAACAGCTCCAAAAAATTTTTATTAAATGATATTGGTTCAGAAAAAAATTCACAGTAGGTCATTTCAACCAGTTCATTCTACATTTAAAATGAGTCACTGAACGGAGAAAGAAATACTAATTGGCAATAAATACAAAAAATATTCTACTTTAATGTTACATTTCTAATTTGACTACAAGGTATTTTCAATTTCAAAGTGGCAAAGCTTTAAACAATGCAGCCGAGCACTTTAATCACTGCATCACTAGGGTTCCTTAATGTATTGACTCTAATTCCCTTGGGTTGTGTGACTGTGAGCGACTTCTGCTTATTTGCATTTTCTGATCATTTATCGAGCCCTGCTGCGGTGCTGTCAGTCTAAGTACTGAACTGGTAATTGCAGGTCCACCAGCTGCTCTTGGAAACCCTATCCAAGGTCGCTACAAGTTGGAACAGACTCCATGGCACACAACAATCACTTATCAATTATATAATTATATTGTCTTGGTAATGTTAAGCTTTTTAAAGTAAAAATAATTGGTTTTATATCCAAAATTTTAGTCATATCTGATGAAAACGGGATATCAGTATATTTTATCCACAGTTCATAATCTAAGTTTATACAACATTCCCTAACACTATGAACAGATGACACACTCTAATAAACCCAACAAAATTACTCTTGAATAATTGATTTTAATAAATTAAGCATTGAATTGCACGAAAACATGCTAGCAAAAGTACACATTAAATATCTTTCCAAATAATTCTTAAAACAGCATCCTAAATTGAATACCAAGAATTTTATTCACCATGTTAACATTACACAATTACATATGATATACATACTTGAGAATAGCAGAACCACATATTTAATGTAAAAGGACTCAGCAAAATCTCCAGTTTAGCATTTGCTTGTTAGTGTTAAGTGCCATCAAGTAGTTTCTGACTCATAGCAACTTTGCATAAGGTTTCTGAGGAGCAGCAGGTGGATTTGAACTGCTAACCTTGAGGTTACATAGCATATATTATTCTGCCAATGTAGCTAGGAAGCAAGAAGTAGATCTATATCTTACAGATCATATATAACATATAACACTATATAATACATAGTACTTAAGATGTATCTTTACTTTGTACAGAATAGAAAGTTTTAAATGCTGACAAGCCAAAAACCAAATCCACTGCCTTAAGAGTTGACTCTGACTTTCAGTGACCCTGTATAAGAACAAAAATCTATTTCCCATCGCATCCTACCTTGTTGTTGTTAAGTGCCATGAAGTCGAATCTGACTCAGAGCGCTCCTGTATGGGGTTTTCAAGGAACAGCTGGTGGGTTTGAACTGCTGACTTTGTGGTTCGCAGTCCAGTGCTAATCCTACAGTGCAACACCAGAAGTCCTTACAACCATAAAAATCAGTGCTTTGTTTTGACAGGAGGCCCCTAATATAGGGCATCTCTATATCCTTTTGTGTATGTTGTTACTGTTGCTAAGTGTTGTCGAGTCAGTTTTGCCCCATAGTGACACTCTATAGGTTTTCCAAGGTTTTAAAGCCTAACTTTCTCTCTTGGAGTGGCTGGCAGACACAAACCATGGACACTGTACTTTGAAGCCCAGTGCTTATCTTATGGAGCCACCATACTTTTCTGTATGTTATTGTTGCTAAGTGTCATGGAGTTGATTCTGACTCAGACTGACCCAGTATAGAGTTTCAGAGGAACGACTGGTTAGTGTGCACCATCAATCTTGTGGTTCAATCTGACCTTGCAGTCCTGTGCTTATCCTATAGCACCACATGTGCACTCAGAGCCTAATCTGGCCCAGAAGGCAATTATTTCTTCTTGCATGCTAAAAAGGTAGAATGTCAAATAGCCATTATCAATGCTATATTAGCCTACATATCTCACATATATTTAAGTGGGGTTCATGATAGTAATAAATGACAACAGTGAACAATTCATTAAGTCATTATTATATGCGATGTATTATACATTAAATAACAAATTAACAAACTTTATTCAGCTCACACAATAACTTAAGAGAAAATGATGATAATTTACTAAATATGACAGAGAAAAGAAAATGATCAAGAAATTTTAGCAAATATGTAATGTGAAGCCTATGACATACATTTATGATCTCACATCCCCAAAGGTACTTTTTCTACTTTTCCTTTTGTTGTTGTTAAGTGCCATCATGTCAGTTCTGACTCATAACCACAGCCAACTTTGCACAGCCAACTTTGTGGATACCAGTCAAGTACTTATCATACAGCACACACCGGGACTCCAGGTTTCCTTTTATGTCACTAGAATTTGAAAGTATCTTTTAGCTCTGAATAAGTAATTCAATACAATAAAAATTTAACAATCTATTGTAAAATGCATTTGTTTTATACTATGGAATACACACAGATGAAAAAGACTGACCGAATCTCACGCTAATGATTCATATTGCTAGTAATAATTTCAATTTCAGGAAGTATTCGTTTAGGTCTGACAAAGAAAGAGAGAAAAAAAAGGTTTCTGGTTTTCTCTATGAACTTTCATTTTTAATACCATTTGTATATTCTTACAAAGTGATCCAATGACAACTTTCTTATCTTCACCTGCACTGTGGTCCTATTGATTTTCCTGATATTCTAATATAGTATATAAGATGTTGATATAATTGCTTAAATTATATGGATTTGCATTTCATTACATAGAGTTAATGTGGTCCACTTTCTCTAATAACAAGAAGCACTTTCTTCAGGGAAAGATTACCTCTAGATATTAATACGAGGGGGCTTCAAAAATTTGTGGAAAAATTGGGTGAAAAGAAATGCAATTTTTCTATCGTTTTGAAGCCCTGTCATACATGGTTTTAGAGTTAAAATTATTTTTACAGTTCATAAATAATACAGTGGTCTTGACAGAACTTGTGAGTTCTCTGCGGCCACATGAGAGTGTGAACAAAAGCAGACTGTTGTTTGAGGTAGGCCGATTTAGATAGACTTAATCAATTCTGATCCCCCTCTGTTGGGCAAGTTATTTGATTCTCTAAGCCTACACATGTTTGTCTGTAAAATGAAGCTAGTAACACTTATTTTGACTAATTGTTATAAAGATGAGAAATTACACTTGTAATCCATCAGAGAGGACTTAATAGTGTCTTAAATAGTCACTGTTAACTCTCACCCATCATTTCTGCATTGAATTATTGACTAAAGCAGTATTTAAACTCAGGGCTTACAGCTGATTTCCCTTAAACTAGTTGACAAGTTTAAGTATGACACTAATTAATACAGGATATGCAGAGACAGAGTAAATAAAGGTTCTTCTGACATTTTTAGAAAATATATCTTCCCACGCATAAACCCACTTAAACATAAACCATATGATTCTGGATTAGTTAAAAGCATGATGATTACTTTAATTACCTTTCTGGCTTTATTCTGGAAAACATAACAGCAACCTTGAACTCTTGTGAGATTTCTATAAAAATGTGTTTATATCTATAACTACCATAAGGTGGAATCTTTTGCTATTACTGAGATGATGAAGAGACAGAGGGAGACAGAATTTAGAAAGGCAGTTTTCAGAGATGGGCTCATTATAAAAAGCCTATGATTGTCGCGTAAGCCTGAAACAGATAAAGTGCAGACATTTTAAAATACAAGGCAATATTTCTTAAACAAAATGCCTTTCCAAGTAGTTTTACTGAACTATTGCCTCAACTGGCCAAGATTCTAACTTGAACAGTGCAAATGTAATTGCTTTGAGTTAAAGATGTGTGTTCAAAGAAATAATATATGCATGTTCTCCAGTAACTGTTCATTTTAAAGCCCAAATCTACCTGCATATACATTTACTCACAAATTCACTTATTTCTATGATTATAACAAACAATCCAGTCCTTTTTACGACTAGATTGAACACACTGAAAATAACCATGGATCACTCAACTGTAAGAATGATCCGAACATAATGAAGAGTTATATATTTTAATGGTAAAATCAATCTGATTATTAGCTTTTCATTTGAGGCACTTTATTTATCTACAGTTCAGAAAGTGCTTACATTAATGAAACTCTAAAGTATCTTTCTTATTGTCAGCAAAAATGTCTGGCAGTGAATTAAAATAGATTGTTTTATCTATATAAGTAACACATAGTTTTAAACCCATGCCTAGAATTGGCTACTTCATAAATTATCACTAAATAACAATTAGAATTATTAAAACACTTTGGAGAACACAGTTCTACTTGAAGGGCTCCAGGGTGGAAGTGCCTCATTTTCCAGAAAAGAATGCCGTTTCTTTTGTTTTCTTTCAATTCTTTCCTGTCTTTCTTTCTTTTCCTAAAAACAAATGAGAAAGTGTTACTTTAACATACTTATATAGACATTATTTTTAAACACGCTTGCTGAAGTACAAAATGATCACTATTAGAAATTTGTATCTTTTAGTTTAATTGACTGTAAAGGAATATCAGCTAATGAACATGGCCAACTCATTATCAACAGGCCTTAAAGGACTACTTCAATTATGTTCCCTTACTTTGCTTATTGACCTTGAGCATATTTTAAAAACGCCTTCAGCTCTTTTGTGAATTCTATTCTTAATTAGACTATCTAACTGCATAAAAAGCAGTGGTTTTGAGTCTTAGTAATCTGCATATTACCATACATAAATGTCAGCAATATCCTTGTAAGATGTATATTATCTACATTACCTTGTTAAGTTATCAGACTTTCACAAAAACGTATAAAGAAATGTTACAACTATGAAAAACTGTTTAAAGATTATACACTGCCTATTTTATGAAATAAAACATGGCTAATGTGGCACTGTGGGCTAATGCGTCAGACTGCAAAGTCATTTGAACTGCAAGGTCTGTGGTTCAAGCTCACCAGCTGCTTCTTGGAAACCCTATACAGGGTCGCTATGGGTCGGAGTCGACTCGACGGCACCATAACAACAATAGCAGTAATATCTTTGAAGTTCCTGTGTTTCCTCCCTCCCTAAACCACTGAAGCAGCCATTACCAATGTAGTGCATATTTTTAGCCTTCTATTACACATGTATTCTTGAGTAACAATTCTCTTTTGCAGTTTCTTAAGATTAATAATAAAAAATATCATGAGATATATTCTTTTGCAACTTTTTATTATTTCTAAGATCCACTTGGAGTCCTGGTGTGGCACTGTGGGATAAAGCACTGGACCTCAAGGTTGATTTGAGCCATAGGGTCAGCAATTCAAACTCACCAGCTGCTCCTCAGTAACCCTATAGAGGGTCATTATGAGTCAGAACTGACCCGATGGCACTTAACAAGAACAACAACAACAAGATCCATACTGAGCTAAAGCACTAGTTCATTCATTTACAGATTTCCATCACTTAAAATACCAATCTATGCCTTGGATGAAAATATGTATGATGCATCATTTTTAAATTCCATTTAAAAAACAAAGTTTCTATCAACATCTTTGATTCCTTACATATATAAGCCAAAGGTTTTAATCTGTGTATATCCTAAGAGTGAAAATGCTGGTTTGTGAAATATACATACACTCTACTGTAGTGAACAATGTCAACTTATTTTGTAAAGTGGCTGTTGTTGTTGTTAAGTGACATAGAGTTAGGTACTAACTCATAGAGACCCTATGCACAACAGGACAAAACACTGCCCGGTCCTGGGACAACCTCAAAATTGTTGCCACGCTTGAGCCCATTGACGCTGCCACCTTTGCCAATCCATCTTACTGGGGGTCTTCCTCTTTTTCTCTGACCCTCCACCTTACCAAACACGATATCCTACTCTATCATCTGATCCCTCCTGACAATATGTCTGAACACTGAGAGACAAGTTTGGCCATCCTGGCCTCCAAGGAACACTGGCTGCATTTCTTCCAAAACGGATCTGTTGGTTCTTTTGGCAGCCCATGGCACTTTAAGTATTCTCCTCCAACTCAAAAGCATCAATTCTTCTACGGTCTTCCTTATTCACTATCCAGTTTTCGCATGCATATGAGGTTATTGAAAATACCATGGCTTGGGTCAGGAGCACCATAGTCCTCAAGCTGACATCTTTGGTCTTCAACACTATAAAAAGGTCTTGTGCAACAGATTTGCCTAATGCAATACACCGTTTCATTTCTTGATTGCTGCTTCCATGAGTGTAGACAGTTGATCCAAGAAGAATGAAGTCATTGACAACTGTAATCTTTTTTCCATTGATAAGAATGTTGTTTATTGGCCCATTGGTGAGGAATTTTGTTTTCTTTACATTGAAATGTAATCCACATCGAAGGCTGTGGTCTTTGATCTTCATCAGTAAGTATTTTAAGTCCTCTTCACTATCAGCAAGTAAGGCTGTATTATCTGCATATCACAGGTTGTTAATGAGTCTTCCTCTAATCATGATGCCATGTTTTCTTCATAGAACCCAGCTACTTGGATTATTTGCTCAGCATACAGGTTGAATAAGAATACAACCCTGTCACACACCTTTCTGAATTTTCAGCCATTCAGTGTTCCCAGGTTCTGTTTGAATAACTGCCTCTTGGTCCATGTACAGATTCCTCATGAACACAATTAAGTGTTCAAGAATACTCATACTTCACAATGTTGTCCATAGCTTGTCATGAACCACACAATTGAAAGCCTTTGCAAAGTCAATAAAGCACAGGTAAACATCTTTCTGAAATTCTCTGCTTTCAGCCAAGATGCATCGGACATTAGCAATGATATCCCTCATTCCATGTCCTCTTCTGAATCCGGCTTGAATCTCTGGAAGCTCTCTGTCAATGTATGCTTGCAGCCATTTCTGTATTACCTTTAGCAAAACTTTACTTTCATGGGATATCAAAGGTATTGTTTGATGTTTCTGCATTCTGTTGGATCATCTCTTTGGAATGGGCACAAATGCGGATCTCTTCCATCAGTTGGCCAGATAATTGTCTTCCAAATATCTTGGTATAGATGAATGAGTGCCTCTTGTGCCACCTCACTTTCTTGAAAGATTTCAATTTTCATTCCATCAGTTCCTGGTGCCTTGTTCTTTGCCAATTCCTTCAATGTAACTTGGACTTCTTCCTTCAGTATCATTGGCTCTTGATCATATGCTACATCTTGAAAAGGTTGAATATCAACCACTTCCTTTGGTACAGTGACTCTGTGTATTCCTTTCATCTTCTTTTCATGCCATCTGCATTATTCAATAATTTGCCCAGAGAATCCTGCAATAATGAAAATCAAGGCTTGAATTTGTTCTTCAGTTTCCCTAGCTTGAAAATACTGAGCGTCTTCTTCCCTTCTAGTTACTGACTCCAGATCTTGGCACATTTTGTTGTAATATTTGACTTTGTCTTCTCAAGCTGACCTATGAAATTTTCTTTTCAGCTCTTGCACAAGAACACTTAAACTTGCAGATAGTAGCCATTTGACCTATATCTTTGATGGCTTGATGATCAGATTCCACTAGAGAAGATAAAGAAATTTAATAAAGGAAGCATGTGTAAATTGCTACAATTTGATGAACTTGACATATCCTTATGGATGTAGTAGCTTAAAATACCAATTGAGAAGGAAAGAGTCTTCACATCAAGTATCTGACCTATCCCCTCTGTACAAAGACTTTATAAGGAAGAGCAACTTAGACACTGGTTACCTAAAATGGGGCAAGGGGCAGGCTAAAAAGGCACAAATTGGCTGGGTTACAAGTTTTCAAGAGGAAGTCTAGTTTCAGAGCATGCAGCAGAAGGTAGAATATCCACTGAATAGTTTTCTTCTTGTCTAGATGGGTTATTCATAAGGTTTTCAGTGACTAAATATTTGGAAGTAGTTTGTTACTCCTTCTTCCTAGTCTGTCCAGCAGATTTGTGTTGGAAGACGTGCAGCCAGAGTGCTCCTTGGAAGCCAAGATGGCCAGACTTTGTCTCTCATAATTCAGACATATTGTCAGGGGGGACCAGTCGCTGGTGAAGGATATCATGTTTGGTAAGGTGGAGGGTCAGAGAAAAAGAGGAAGACCCCCAATGAGATGGATTGGCCAGGTGGCAGCATCGATGGACTCAAGTGTGGCAACGGTGGTGAGGTTGGCCCAGGATCAGGCATTATTTCATTCTGCTGTGCATGGGGTCGCTATGGGTCGGTGCTGACTCGATGTCACCTAACAACAACAACAACAACAACAACTAGATGGGTTAGGTGAAAGGAGATGGGGATGGTGTTCATAGATTCAATAGTGAATAGCTGTTATCATGCCTAATTGCAATGGTCACAACTGTAGAGGTTGTATAACAAAAAAGTGGGAGTAGTTAATCTTGCATTCCAGAAACAGAGGACTCTAGGACCATCAAGAGAGAAGAGCATGAGTTGAACATGGGACCCTAACCAGAGAAGCAAAGACACCAGAGATGGAGGCAGACGTGATGGCATGGAGGGATTGAGCAGCTGAGGACTCTAGACTATAGACTCTAGACGAAGAGAAAGGCTGTGCACTGGCAGCCTGGAGACTGGCTTCCCTCATCTTGGAATGCACTCAAAGTATAACTGGGAATAGCTACCTCATTAAAGTAGAGTTGACCATGATGATGAGAATGGAGTAAAGCTTATGAGGTCTACACTTATTGATGGGCACAACTCAAAATAAGTAGAAACTCGCTGTAAACACCCATTAATAATTGGAACACTGAATATGTGAAATGGAACACATAAAACCTATATCCTAGGCATTGATGAACTGAAGTGTACTTGTATTGGTCAGTTTCAATCTGACAACCACATGGTTTCTAGGCTTAAAATGAGAAATTGAAGAGGAATAGTATCACATTCATCATCAAAAGAACATTACAAATTCTATCTTGAAGTACAGTGCTGTCTATAACAGGATAATACCCATAGACCTACAAGGAAGACCAGTTAATACAATTATTACTCAAATTTATGTACCAACCATTAAGCCAGTGTTTATGAAACTGAAGAATTCTACCAATTTCTTTAGTCTGAAACTGGTCAAACATGTAATCAAGATGTACTGATGATTACTGGTGATTGGAATGCAAAGCAAGGAAACAAAGATAAATGATTTGTAGTTGAAAAATAGGGCCTAGGTGATAGAAATGATACTAAAGATGGCATGATAAAACTTTGTAAGACCAATGACTTACTGTAAATAACTTTTTAAAACAACATAACAAAACAACTATACACCTGTACCTCACAAAATGGAATATACAGAAATCAAACTGAGTACATCTGGGTGAAGAGACAGTGGAAAAGCTCCATATCATCACCCAAACCAAAGCCAGTGTGAAACTGTGGAACAAACAATTGCTCATAAGGGAGTTCAGAC